TTGGTTATAAATTATAACTTATAATCTATCAAATGACATATTATTGTAAATTACTTATAAGTAAGACTAATGTTACAATAATAATTTTTTAAACACCGATATTAACAAACACCGTTATGTTAATAAAATATAAAAATATATAACAAATGTATACACACTATTGCACAGTACTTAACGCACCAAAATCTAGATTAATTTAAGTAATTAATCTCAAAGCAAAATATAACCAATATTATAGATTAGACATTAAAATTAATATAAAAATATATAACAAATGTATACACACTATTGCACAGTACTTAACGCACCAAAATCTAGATTAATTTAAGTAATTAATCTCAAAGCAAAATATAACCAATATTATAGATTAGACATTAAAATATTATATGTAACATAGGATATACATGTATAAGAATATTAACTGTTTTAAACAAGATTTCTCAAAAATATACTCTGGCACTTTGCTTTCATAGACAATACATGATAATATTGCCCGCATATACCCGCTTTGGGGAGCGCTGGTTTTAACCAATACAGTTTATTAGTTTATAAAAAGTTCTTATTAACGTAAGAACATATTGTGACATTAATAATAATAGGGTATGCACATATCATAAGTTAGGATTAAGTTTGGTACGATTGTGTCGAATTAGATATCGTACACTTCACCAGGGTTCAATCAAGGACTTTATAACATTGCGTACAAGTCATAAAGGACACCATACAGTATGTTTTTATGCTATAATAATTATAAGATGCTTGATCTTTGTTACTATTTTTAAAATGAAAATGTGTCAAATTCATTAGAAATATCTTATCATCAGTAAATATCATAAATATTATTTGTCGTGTGGTTTACATAATAATAACAGCAATACTCCAATACATGAGTTGACAACATTCATACTCAGCGCACTTAATGATTTGATTTCACGAGTATTTGCACACATTTTGTTTGTTAATCCCATTGGAAATGTCATTATAATTGCATTTCAAGTGTTTTCTGATTTATATCATAATTAAAGCAAAAGATTTAATTGAAATAACATAGGTATAAATAAACCAAGTTTTATTGTTTCAGTTTATGTGAACTATTATTAACAATTAATTAACTAGTAAGTTAGGGTACATGTTAGTTAAATGAGTTAATTAATAATTGCTTAAAAATGATGCATTAATTTGTTTACTTTAACATTAATAATATTGTTTAAAAAATTAATTAATGTTAAAATTTATAATTCAATAAATGCAATTATTAACTTGCTGAAAAATATATAAAATAATTAATAAAATAACCGCAATAAAAATGGATGCAACACAAAATTCAACAGGTTTTTCGTACAAAATGAAAAAGTGCTACCAATTTATCAAACTGTTAACTATAGAGCCGTATATATTTGTATACATGTTTGTGTTGACCTTAAAGGGTGTGCCGGGCGCTCAACTTGTGGAGGACAAACTGTGCCTGCTCAATTACAATCTTAATAGTAGTTATTGTTTATGGTTACCAGTAATGAACGAAACTCAGGACATTCTGGGCAAGAAGTCGGCCATATTGGCCGAGTCAACCAATTACCTGTTGTACGCAACACTAATACTCACCATACCATCCATACTAACCTCGGTGTTTATCGGCGCCTGGACTGACCGCTATCAACCGGCCAAAAAAATGCTACTTATCGTCGGTGGTTTATCCGGTGTGCTCGAGGCACTTATTAATATAATCACTGTCATATTTTATGATATATGTAAGTGCATCTAAAGTATGTATCCGCATATATGTAACTAAGTAAAATGTTATTTTTTGCAACTTGCAACTTTGCACAGCCCCGTTATATAACCTGATATCGCCGATATCTATGTGCTTCTCCGGCGGAATGTTAGGCCTATTGACCGCGTTTTGGTCGTATATAGCGTTAACAACACCCCGAAAATATATGGCCTTACGAATGACCTTCGCCGAAGTGATGATGTCATTAGGTATTTGTTTTATTGTAATATTCAATAATAATTATGGTAAATATTAAATTTAGTTTAAATTATAGCTCAACCGTTTGGTACTTACGTTGGCGGAGCTGTACTTAATATGAGTCCCCTGTGGGCCAACTCGGGTCAGTTGCATAACTACATGGGTGTGTATTTAATATGCGGTGTCGCATACTTATTGGCCACCATTTGGACATTGTTTATGATCGATGAGCGCAAAGACATGGAAGCGTTTCAAAGAGACTTTGGATCAACTAATGGTGAGGAGGAAGACATGTCTTTGCGGGAAGAGATGCTAAACAAACAGAAACAATACGACGACAACCGACACATACATCCCATACGACTGCTGTTTGATTGCCGTAACGTTAAGGACATGTTTATCACGTGTTGGAAACGGCGTACAAATTATGTACGCTTGCAGTTATGGCTACTGTTTTTATCGATGGCCATATATATCATGGCATATATGGGTCCCATTACTATCCTGTTTGCCTTTGTCCAGAAGGTGTACAAATGGAATTCAGCAACTTTTAGCAATATATCAGCTATTGGTAGTTTAATCTCGGTCGCCGCCATCTTTGTTATATCGCCCATTCTTATCAAGGTAATTTATTTATAATTAATACTTATTGCTAATATCTAATAATAATGATAGTTATATTAATGTAGTATTGTTTCTATTTCTTGTTGTTCTGGGTTTATTATGAGATAATAAGGTAATAATAATATAACAGTATATGTTCTCAATTCCGATAACTTTAATTCCGATACTGTTACACACAATAGCCTATCCCTAGCGACAGCTGTCTTAACTAAAATACAGTAAAAATGTCACGTGTTGTCGGAATTAAAGTTATCGGAATTGAGAACATATACTGTAAAATTGATATAAAGTATTTATATAAAATAATTATTATTACAAAATAATTTTATAGAGTATAATATAATATGATTATAATTATATCATGAGTATTTGTCTATTGTTTAGGTGCTGGGCTTCAAAGACACGACACTATCGATGGTGGGTTTGGTATCGTTTTGCGGCCAGTATGTGCTCCGGGGTGTCATTTTAAACCCCAACGGTTTCTATCTGTCCATTCCGGTGGGAATGTTGGGTGCGATCGGCTCTATCGGCATTCGGTCCCACTTTTCCAAGATTGTTGAGCCGAGAGAGTTGGGCAAAGTGTCCAGTCTTATGGCCGCCATTGATTCAGTCATACCACTCGTGGGCTCCAGTTTTTACAGCTCAGTGTTTAACGCCACTATGGATACTAACCCCGGGCTATCATTTATTATTACCGGTTGTATACTAGCCGTGCCGTTCGCTGTCATGATTTGGATCCACTTTTTTACCGTTTTGCCTGACTTTCAATCGCGTGTCAGTGAAGTGGAGAGCAATTGTGACGATAAGACTAGTCGTGAAAATATTGGCACAAATGTTGTCTTCAATGATGTCTGATATATCATATGTTATTTAATATTAATTGTTAAGAAGTAATTGTTATACATGTTAATTCTACTCAATGAGTAGGGATTATTGTGTATTACAGTATGTTAGCATAATTTATGTTTTATTAATAAAATTTATTTATTTTAATTTGAATTAAATAATTTTATAGTTATATTCAGTAACCGGCAATTGCTCATAATTTCAACTAAAACTCTATGTAAACTCAATGCAATGAGTATACCTGGGAACATTCAATGCCGGTTGTAGATTATATTTTTTGTGATAAGGAACAATATTAAACTTATAATCACGTTTAATTGATTAACTTTATAAACAGCAAATTGTTTTTTCTTATTACAGTATTATAAAATAAACAACATTATAATTAATTGATATATTACAGTATTAATAATAATACAGTAAAATTCAATTGCTTTTAACTTATGATCAAATGATTTTTACGAACGCTCGCCTTCAGTCAAATCATTTTTACGTTCAGTCAATTCATTATGACATCAGTGAGTGTTGTATGCAATGAATGCAGTCATTGAAAGAGTGCGACGTTTCATTCGATTGTTGTCGCAGTGCTTGCAATACAACACTCACTGATGTTATAATGAATTGACTGAACGTAAAAATAATTTGACCGAAGGCGAGCGTGAGTAAAAATCATTTGCTCATAAGTTAAAAGCAATTGAATTTTATTGTAATAGTTTTAGTCACAATAACGTATAAATCTCTTATACAATATTCTATTCTATATTTTAAAAAAATGAAATCAATAAAGTAAAATAAAATAGGAATCTTATTAGTATTGTATTATAAGTATAAATAATTTTGTAATCTATTTTGTAATATGTCTTGAATTTTCAAATAGATTTCTAATGACGACATATTAAGCATTCATTAATTATATTTCAATATAATATTTCAATATAATTTTAAATAAAATTAAATTATTAATATTGCAACATGAATGCCGATTAGTTGGTCATTCGCTGTGACCGTCAACTCCCGGCGTCAGTAGAGTGCGTTAGAGCGGGCGCTACCTGTATCTCACCTCTGATGCGCTGTCATCCCTGCGCTGAGCCTTAGGTCCTTAGCTCAGGTCTCTAGGTCTGTGCCCACTTTGTGACCGCTGTGTCCGGTTGACTGTCACAGGTTGCTGCCGTTATTAGTTATTATTATTATTTAAAAGGGGTTAGCATTAAATACACTGTTTTATAAGTAAAAGTATTTAATATAAAAAACACAAAAGCGTAAAAGTATTACATTTGATAATATAAGGCTTTTGAAGGGTGTGTTGTAACCTCTCTTACGCACAGTAAGAGAGTTGAGCGGAAAAAAGCCCCGAGAGTTGGGAAACATAGCCTATTTAAAGGCTAAAGAGGAGTAGGAGTTGTATAGCATTCCTGAGGGCTAAGGACTGACCAATCATAGGGTCGTTATGTAACATACATGCAGTTAAGACTCGTTATAACTAACATACAGGTAAGCATAAGTATAGTATACAATGCAGTACATACTGCAATATTTAGTATTTCATTCATTTATCATACAATACAATACAAATGAAATTGTTATAAACATTAATTAATTCTTAATTTTAAAAAATAATAATTTTATTTGTACTACTCAGTATTTACATTTTAAAATTAAAACATCATTTATAATTATACTAACAGATATAATTAACATTTATTTCATTACTTTATGATATAATTTATTAAAGAATATAATGCCTATTGTGCCGGACATATAATGTACATTTTTATTATATTTTATATAAAAGTACTAACAGAGCGTTTAAAAACGTTTCTAAACTAATTAATATTTATGTTAGTTTAGTTATTTAACATAAATGTATATAAATAAAACTAAGATTACGCTTCCATATTTGTCCATGTTACAAATAACAGGCCCTACCGGGACAAACGGCAGTTGTGCGGCACCGGCACTACGTACCGTAAATTTCTACGGCACCGGTACGGAACCGGCACGCAAAAATTGTAATTTTTTAAACACTAATCCGTATTGTTAAATTAATCCGTATGTTAATTAAATATTTACAAATAAAATAATAAATAGCGTTAAATGTTATATAGATATACGTTATAATACTAGGAAATGAAAGCACTGATACCCCGATCCACATACCAGTAGTGCCTCCGATATCATAGATCAGTTGCCAGATATCCATTGCCAAATGTTCAGTGATTATTGGCTCAAAATAATTACTAGGTATTAAATTAATCTGGGTGTAATTCATATTAGCTTTGCCATTGATTAAATTGATATCAAAGGGTGTAAAATCACACAAGTCATGAAATATAAAACGACAATTCAAATTAATTTGACAATACACTGTTTTATTAAATTGAACCTGGTTATATTGACAAAATCTATAACCATCATGCTTTACATTATGTGTTAATATATTGTATTTAAAGTGCGGAACTGGAAGACAGCCATAGCTTTGATTCAATTCAAAGGCAATGCAATTGTAAAACACGGAATCATAAGAATTGCTGTCAATAAAGTCGGCATTTAATTGTCGCTCACTTTCTATACACCGAAAGCTATCGGTTCTTAACCGTCGGTAGAAATGCGATGAAAACATAATGTTATTCATAGCGTTTGTGTTTATGAAAAACCCTTTTTGTTGATAATCTGGTATAAAAATCAAAACGTAACTGTTAACATGGTCCGTTTTATATGTGATAACAATTCGTTGAAGGTGATTTTCTTGATAATATTGATACAATGTATTAGAGTATTCATCGGTGATATTTTTAAAAAATGATTGTTCTATTACAATGTCATTGTCTGCTATGTAAAGTGCATTCTCATGTTGCGGGCACTTTAGTCTGCGACCATGGTCAAATTGAAAATAACATCCAATTAGATTATGGTTATAGTCATACACAATACGCCTAAACAGAGGCATTGAATTTTTAGTTAGAATCACTTGCTGTAAATTATTAGTGACTTTTCTGAAAAATTTTTTTACTTCACCAGGATTAAGGTTTTTGATATTTTGCTTAATATTATTAATTGTACCAGGGAAGTATTTTTCCAACTCGTCAAAGTGAATCTCAGACAAACTAATTGCAATCCTTATACCAGGAATTCTAATTCTATTATTTAATTGAATGTGAAATTTAATGTTATTTTTGCTATAATTCTCGTATATATTTATTGATTGAATAAATAGGAAATATAAGCACACAATGAATGCCAATGTTTTTATGCAATGATAGAAATACAGATACTTTTTATACTCCGCATATTTAGCCCGACGTCTATTAAGTTTTCCATATATTTTTGTTTTGATTTTTATAATAATTGTCTCAATCATTGAATACACACTGAATCCACACCACATTCCTATCAGACCTCCGATTGTCGACAGATAGACAATGAAATCAGTTTTGGGACAAAAATTCCAAATCATTTTTATCGGAGTCTTGTATTCAAACATAATTAAATAATGTGATATATTGGGATTCATACCGGACAGTTGTTCCACATGGTGATTATTAACACCATTTTCAGTAATATATTGATTGCATTCAATCTGACATTTCTTATATAATGACCGATAATTGGCTAAAACAACACAATCACTGTTTGTTTCATTGATTACTAACTGTTTGTTATTTGTAAATATTTGGGAATTCCAGTAGAGATTGTGTTTACAAGTCTTATACTCCAGACGTTTCATCACATCTAACATACATTCGTGTCTCGATTTCGGGCCAACACTCTGTCCGTCGGCGCCGACTGTCCGCCAATTGCTCTCATAGTCCCGACAGTCCGTACGATAGGGTGCGGGCAAAAGGGTCTGCCGTTTGGCTTCGATTTGTATTACATTAATATTGTGTTTTGAGGTTAATGTTAACATTTTGGTGAAATGCGATGGAGTGTACAGTGAATGCAATGTTAACTCCCATTTATTAACATACGACATGTAAATCACTAAAGGTATTCGCAATGCATGCAACAAATGATGAGGGTGATTTAAGAAGGTGAGACAAATACTGGTGTCCGGCCGGTGCCGGATATACACCGGACTAAAGTACCGGCACTTAAATGAGTTAATATCATTATATATACCGCATTTTAGTTTAACATTACCGGCAAATGTATTGATTGAATTGTTATCAAAATTATAATAACTTTTATTGAGACAAACAGTCGCTGAAACGTTATACACGTTATGACTGTTATTTCTGTCAAATTTTATATCGTTTATCATTTCGTACGACAAGTAATTCACTGTTTGATCCCATATTTGAAATAGAAATCCACTGATTATAACAAAATATGTTATGATTTTTAATGTGATTTTATATTTAATCATTGAATTTACATCTGATAGCGTTAATAAAGGCATTGTTAGAAGTTTTAATGAAAATTATATCTATATACTGTTTATAATGCACTGCGTTTAATACTGTGATGTTTTTAAATAAACTATTTCATACTTTCATTGTATATACATTGTATAACTATTGAATATATTTAATTAACATCACAAAAGTTTTTTATTAAAATAATATATTTATTATATAATAATAATAGTAAATATTAAACAATATTCTTTATTGAAATTTATTTAAAAAATTTAATAATATATAAACATTTCTATTCATTGCTTTATTTATATCACAATATATTTTTTAATGAAAGGAGTTTACTTAACCTATCACTTATTATTATATATTAATGAGGTAATTTATTATCTAAAATTAATAACAAATTTCAAAAAATATTTTAAACATGTTTTGGCATTAAAGTAAAATGTTTATATTGCTTAATTATATAAATAAAAACTAGGTAGATGACATTTAATATTTTTATAATAAAATCACAATTTTTAAGTTGTATAAAAGTAAAATAAGTTAAATCAATGCAATTATCATTCTGATGGCTAAAATACTACCGCCAGATAATGCCTAGATACCATTAATTATAACGTGCTAAGTTATATTGTATATACTTAATCAATAATTATCACTAATGTTTACAGTGTTTTTGAATATTATGTAATAAAAATATGACTCACAATTGTTATTGCATAGGTATACTGTAAAGTAGTTACATGATAGAGCAGTATTATATCTAAAGGTACATTTACTGTACTCTACTGTACTAGGTCAATTGATAATATCCATACTAAATGTACCAAATTACTTTATTGCACGATGTGTTTACAATCTCAGAGAAAAAATTAATTAATGTATTTTTAATGTCAAAAGTGCTATAAAATGTGTAGTACTTCAAGAATAAATACAGACGTAAACAGCATTTATTAGATGAGTGTCATTCATAAGCATTATTTATATACAGTATTTATTTGTAAATTATTAATATCTAAATAATTAATAATGGTAATAATTAATATTGCTTAACATCTATTTACAAACTTACTATATTAATAAATGTTTAATATACCAAACTTTGAAAACTAATTTTTTGCGGGAGTTTATAAAAAAAATAATAACAATTATTTATTTTATTTTATAAGAATTAATTTACTAATGTGAAAATGGATATTTTAAAACAAATTTCATCAAGCTTCTCCTACAAACTAAAACAGTGCTACGAATTTATTAAACTGTTAACTATAGAGCCGTATATATTTGTATACATGTTTGTGATGAGCCTAAAGGGTGTGCCAACCGGTCAACTGGTGGAAGACAAACTGTGCTTGTTCAAATACAGACAAAATGTGAGTTATTGTCTACAATTAGCAAAAATGACCGAGATGGAAGACACTGTGGGACTCAAATTGCCCATATTGACAGAAATGACCAAGCTTACTCTATATGCAACACTAATACTTACCATACCATCAATACTGGCCTCACTGTTTATCGGTGCCTGGACTGACCGCTACCAGCCGGCCAAAAAGATCTTGCTTATAGTGGGCGCCGTATGCGGTGCTGTCGATGCCGTGGCCAATATGCTTAATGTTTATTACTATGATTCGTGTAAGGGCAATTTAAAAATGACTTGCTATAAATTATACATTAAAAATTGTATTAATACAACTTAAAACATTTTGAAAAATAGCTGCATACTACATCTTATTGCCACCAATAACCATGATATTTTCGGGCGGTATGTTGGGCTTATTGACCTCGTTCTGGGCGTATATAGCGTTGACAACACCCCGCAAATGGCTGGCTATACGTATGACAATTGCCGAAGTTATGATGTCTATCGGTGTGTTATATTAATAAATTAATTGTAGTTATTAAATTAAATTGTCTTATTTTACCATAATGTATAGCATCGCCAGTGGGCACATACATAGGTGGAGCTGTACTTAACACGAATCCCTTGTGGGCCAACTCGGGTCAGTTGCATAACTATATGGGTGTGTATATGATATGCGGTGTCGTATACTTATTGGCCACCATTTGGACATTGTTTATGATCGATGAGCGCAAAGACATGGAAGCGTTTCAAAGAGACTTCGGATCAATTAATGGTGAGGAGGAAGACATGTCTTTGCGGGAAGAGATGGCAAACAAACAGAAACAATACGACGACAACCGACACATACATCCCATACGACTGTTGTTTAATTGCCGTAACGTTAAGGACATGTTTACCACGTGCTGTAAAAGGCGTACAAATTACGTACGCTTACAGCTGTGGCTATTGTTTGTATCGATGGCTATATTTGTTATCGCATTCATGGGTCCCATTGTTTTTCTATACTCTTTTGTACAAATCATTTACAAATGGGATTCACAAATGTTTAGCAACATCTCAGCCGCTGGCAGTTTCATCTCGATCGGAGCTGTCTTTTTTGTTACCCCTATTCTGATCAAGGTGTTATATTTAGTAAAATATTAGTTAAAATTTTAATTCAAATCATTACAACTTTTATCGCAATTATTAATTGTATTATTCATATATTTATCTTAGGTTTTGCGTTTCAAAGACACCACACTATCACTCATTGGTTTGGCTGCGTTTGGCGGCCAAAACCTGCTGCGGGGTATCATTTTGAACCCAATCGGGTACTACCTGTCTATGCCTGTCGGGGCAATGGCTGCGATGGCAACCATCGGTATTCGGTCCCACTTTTCCAAGATTGTTGAGCCGAGAGAGTTGGGCAAAGTATCCAGTCTTATGGCCGCCATTGATTCAGTTATGCCACTTATTGGGTCCGCGTTTTATACCTCGGTGTTTAACGCCACCATTCATTCTAACCCCGGTCTGTCGTTTATTATAACGGGTGCTTTAATGTCTGTGCCGTTCGCTGTTATGATTTGGATCCACTTTTTTACCGTTTTGCCTGACTTTCAGTCGCGTGCCATTGAAGTTGATATTAATAGTAATGATGAGTCCAATGAAGAAAGAATTCCAATTTTACATAATATAACGAGTGATGCATAATATTAATTATTTAAAAATATATTTAAAATGTATATTAATACAATTGTTGTATATTATTGATTTAAATTACAAAATGTCATAATAATTTTGGATTTGAATCAAAATTGCTGACGAGTTATTGGCTTTTTATAAAGTATTTTCAAAGTTTGAAATTCAAACATTCAATCGTTTCTTAATTTCTTTGATTAGATTCTTAACAATAGTGTCGGTATCGGCGCTAATGTCTTGAATGATGACATCTTCGCGGTGGGGATCGGGCTCTTCCAGTG